TACTACAATATTTGATACTATGAGATATATATGAAATTTTTTAATGTGAGGATATTTGATACTATGAGATATATATGGAATTTTTTAATGTGAGGATAATAGTTAGTAACTTCATTTAGAAATAGTAACTATGTCCGTCCAATATTTTATTCACATTGTAAATATAACATTATGTTTGGAGTCACAATTTTGTGCTAAGGCAGCTCTCACACCATAATCATTAGCATCACATATGAGTTTGAACAAAATACTCCAATTTGGTGTTTGAAGGATCGGTGAAGTAGTGAGTTTATTTTTCAAAATCTGGAAATTCTCTTTACACTGCTTCAACTATACAAATAGAATGACGTTAACGAAGAAATTGGTCACATTTCTTTATTGAAATCTTCTATAAATAATACTTGTTCTATCCCACTCGAAATGTACTTATTTGAAATTTTGTAGTAGATTGAAAAAATGATAATATTTTATTGGTTAATGGAAATATGTAAGAAGTTTTGACATTTTTACCTTTGAATTTATGTATAAAGTAATTATATGTATAATAGTATGTTTGTAATTGAAATAAAAATTAAAAATATTTTTATATTAATGTAAAATTACTTTTAGTAAAATAGAAAAACGATACTTAATTTTGAGTGGGACATACGAAAATATTAAAAATGGTATTTTAAGTTGAGACGCAAAGAGGTATTTAAAATCTAACTTGTCCTTAGAAATTGTACAATACTTTCTTATTCACTAGAGTATTAATTCTTACAATTACACTTACATTCGCGTTGTCACGAGCAAGGACTTTATTTATCTAAAGTAGCAATTATTTTAATCAAGTAATTTTTCAGCTAATTATTAAAATATACGAAAATATTAGATATTATAAATGAATGATATAATATATTGCCACTTACACATGTACATTTTGTTGATAATTATTTAATATGAATGTAAAATGTAAAAACTCCATTATGCATACGAGTTATTGATCTCTAGATAATAGTATATATATATTTATCTAAATATAGTTTTACTTTTAATTTTAGGTTGTCATAGATTTTTTAAAAAAAAAAAATAGTAAAAAATTGTATTATTTATATATATATATTTACTATAAAAGATAAAAAGTCGAAAAAAAAGATAAAAAGTAACAAAAAAAATATATATATATGCATTAAAATATTTGTCCAAAAATATGAACATACAATTGAATGACTAGAAAGTATAATATTTCAATTGTTAAATAAGATCGATCAATATTTCACTATTTAACTACCATTCATCGTCTTAAATTGTAATTTTAAAAATATTGTTCATTATATACAATCTCTAACACAACTCAATTCAATTACTGTAGAATAATCTTTTCCATTGTAATTCATTTGAAATTATTATTGTGATTTTCAAATTCTACGTAATTTCTAGAGTTTGTTTCGTTTGAGTTTGTGTGTGTCAATATTTTGGTTGTATTTTTTTTAAAAATATATATATATATATTTAGATAAACTTAAATATGTTATATACATTAATACTTGGAAATGACACAGACAAAGTGAGATTGCATATGATATATTATACAAAGATATTTTTGAGAAAATAACTTGTAAATCGACCAAACTAAAGTTGTAAGCATAGAAGGCATTGACAACAATTTTATACGATAAGGTTTTTTCTTTCAATATAAATAATTATTTTGAGATGATTTGAGATTAATATTTACTACATTGTAATATTTTTTTAACTTATAAAATTATTACTTTTTATAACACATTAGGTAATATTTGATTCAATTTAAATATATTACATTATCTAAATATATTGATACTCGAAATAAATAAAGACAAACAAGCTATTTTTTTTTTCCTCAAATGATTTGAGATCATTATTTATTTTTATCGTATCTTAGTATTAAAAAAACAGCCAAATAAAATAATATACATTCTAGAGCAAAGTTGAAACCTACCATAAATCAAAAAATTTAGTTTGTTTCTACTTTTATGTATATATATATATATATATATGTAAGACCCTAAACCCTTAAACCCTTAATTCGGTCGAAAGTTATGAATTATTCTTTTTTTTTTCCAAAGAATATTTGAGATTATTATTATTAATTATTTATTTTTCGTTATATTTTAATTATAAGACCAAAAAATTAATACACATTCACCTGTACTATTGAATTATATCATAAGACTAATCTCTATTTGATACTAAATGCATTGAGTTAATTGATGTTGGATTTTCATATTTGAAAGTTTGAAAATGTATTAAAAATATTTTAAACAATTAAATATAATGATAATAGCACGAATTGTCATTTTATTAAAATGACAATTCGTGCTATTATCATTATATTTCATTTTATTTTTAATTTTTTTAAAAATTTTATTTGTTTGTTTTTTTTTTTTTTTATTTAGTTCAATTGAAAAAAAATTAAAAAAAAAATTCAGGTGTCCGTCAAGTCTCGCTGACCTAGCGGGACACCTGACGAACACGTGGTCTCTCGAGCAACGTGGGCATCTCTGGCGCCGAAGGACTAAACAACGAAAATTTTTCACTTATGGGACTAGTTTGCGACAGACTTCATTTACAGGACTAAAATGATAATGAGGTTCAATTACGAGACTGAATAACAAATGTACTCAAAAAAAAAAAAAAAAAAAACAAATTAGAAAGTAGAAAGTAGAATAAAGATGGAATTAAAATAAAAACTTCTAGAATATATTTGAAATGAAATAGAAAATGATTTTCAAATATGTTATGAATTTAAAATTCATTCTTACCCAAGTGATATTTTAAAATTAGTTATTGGATCCGAAATGACTTTTTGCTCAAATAAAACAATTTGAAGTAGAAAGTGGGTTTAAGTGTAGTTGATTAGTGAATTTTTATTTATTTTTTTTAAATAATAACTTTGATGTAATACTTAAAAAAATATTTATATATATTTTCGAAATTAATTTATTTATTTTATTATTTTGATTCCTTCCAAATCAATATATATGTTTAAATTTTTTAATAATTGTACTCCAATATATAACATAAAATATTACTTTTTTGGTGCCAGTTAAAAGTGTGTTTGTTTGGAGGTTTGGATTTTGAATTGAAATTTAAATAGTAAAAATTTTGAATTGTAATAGTCGTATGATATGATATAAATAGATGTTGATGTAATATTTTGAATGAAAAATTAATTTTAGTATAATATAAAAAATGAAAAATAAGTGTGATTTGATTTTTTTTAGGAAAAAAAAATCGATGAAAAGTAAGATTTTTGCAAAATCCTACAAACGAACACACTTTTATTATATTCATATTTTCATTTTAGTCGGTCGCACTTATTTTGTCACTTAACTTTTTTTGGAAAAGAATTATGTATTTTAATCTTATTTTAAATTTTTTAAGTTATAATTTATTTAATTTTAATTGAATATATAATTATTTTTATTATACAATAATTATTATCACTCATGCATTCTTAATTATTTACTAATTATATTCTTCTTTCATTCTTACGTCTACGGTAAAATAGACATAATAGTCGGAACGAAAAGAAAATTATTTTTTAATCTATTATAAAACTCTTAAAAAAAACCTTTGAATTGAGAATGAGAAAAAATATATATATATATATATACTCCCTCCATCCTAGAACTATAACTTGGGTTGGATTTGGTACGAGATTTAAAAAAATATTGATATTATATTGATAGTGTGTAAAAAATACATGTAAATTTTTTTTTTTGCCCTTGTAAGTGTATTGGTGTAAAAAGTAGTAGCAATTGTGTAATAATACACTACAAAAAATAATATATTTGTAACGGAATTCCGTCCTAAAAGTTCACGTAGCTAACATAATTTCATTCCTACTTCCGTCTCTAATGTGATTAGTAACAGAAAAAGTAGACTTAGAGACAAAAAAAATTTTGTTACAAAAATGATTTTTTCTTATAGTGATAATGAAAAAATAAATGTAGTTTTACAGTGATATGATTATTTATGGAAATGAGACTATTGTTTTGAGACGGATAAAACTGGTAAATATGACTATTGTATTGAAACAAAAGAGTGATAATGAAAAAATAAATGTAGTTTTACAGTGATATGATTATTTATGGAAATGAGACTATTGTTTTGAGACGGATAAAATTGGTAAATATGACTATTGTATTGAAACAAAAGAGTGATAATGAAAAAATAAATGTAGTTTTACAGTGATATGATTATTTATGGAAATGAGACTATTGTTTTGAGACGGATAAAACTGGTAAATATGACTATTGTATTGAAACAAAAGAGTGATAATGAAAAAATAAATGTAGTTTTACAGTGATATGATTATTTATGGAAATGAGACTATTGTTTTGAGACGGATAAAACTGGTAAATATGACTATTGTATTGAAACAAAAGAAGTATATATATATATATATTTTATATAAAATGCAACTTTCTAAATTCGGAAAAAGATAACTCCCCTCACATTTCACTCTTTCTTTCTTCTCTCTCTTTCTAAATTTACCCCATTTGTCTCTAAGACCATAATTTGTGGAAAACACTAAAAATAGAAACACTAAATATATATATATATATATATATATATTAATTAAAATAAAATAAAATAAAATAAAATAAAAACAAGTGTCAAGGCGTAGTTTTTGGCCTTAGAATCATTCACATCCACCCAACACTTAGAATCTCACACTTATTGCATTCTCACTCTCCCTCTATATATACACATTTATCATTTCTCTAACACCTCAACTCAACTTGAAATAAACAAACAATGTCATGTCCTACACAATAATTTTGTGACACATACATAAAACTTTTTCTTTTTCATTACATTCAATAAAATTCATCTCATACTATCATATCACCAACCCACATCTTCTTCATAATCTTATTCCAAAGCCCGTCGTCGTCCTCGTGGTTCTATCACTTTTTCATTTATAATCGAGTCGAAATAATTTTTGGGACTTTTTCAAGAAAGCGCGCGGCAAAATGGTGAACGCAGATCTGTTCCGGACCATTGTTGGAATTCTCGGTTTGTGATTTTATTTTATTTTTTCGATTATATATAATGATGTGTTATTTTGATATATGCAAATCTGTTGTTTATATTTTTTTATTTATTTTTGATCCCTTGTTTTGTATTTTATTTGCAGGAAATGTCATTTCCTTCTGCCTATTCCTTTCTCCAATGTAAATTTCTTATCCTCCAATTCTTCATATTAATAATACTATTTTTTCGATGTTATACTATCACTTTTTAAAAATTCACTATTGAGCTTATTTCTTTTGGAAAAATTTAGAATTTTTCAACTTTTAAATGTATAATTTTAATTTATTTTTTTTCTAATACAATGTTATAAAAGAAAAATACATTAATTAAATAAAAATACAATAGTTAGTTTAAGAAATAAATATTGTCATTATATTTGTTTGTTATGACTTTATTACTTACAAAATAACATTTGCATTTCTATCTACAAGTAAATATATATATATATATTAACTAGTGATGTGACACTTTATAATTTTAAATATATATTTTTTTTTAATAAAGTTTATAATTCTTCCTTAATTTAAGATTATTTTTTATTTTTTATTTTACCTTTTACTATAGTCATCACGATTCGATTCGATTTATTTATAGCGTGCGTGCATGCATGCAGGCCGACATTTTACTCGATATGGAAGGACAAATCCGTTAAAGGGTTCAAGCCCGATCCATACGTGGCAACGGTGTTCAATTGCGCAATGTGGATGATTTACGGGATGCCCTTTGTGCATCCCGACAGTCTTCTCGTCATCACCATCAACGGCATTGGCTTGGTCATCGAAACCTTTTATATCACGGTCTTTGTCATCTACTCCGATTGGCACAAACGCGTCAGTATAAATATATTATTTTCTCTATAATTATTTTTCATTAATCACATAAATAATTTTTATTTACATTATTTATTACATCAATTTTTTTTTTTTTTTCAATATTCAGCGCAAGATTTTTCTTATCCTCGCCGCGGAAGCTGTGATCTATGCCATCGTTTGGGTCATCGTACTTTTATGTTTCCACACAACCACTACTAGGTCGATGTTCATCGGTATCTTTTGCATTATTCTCAATATTGCTATGTACGCTTCCCCGCTTACGGTTATGGTAAGTACTACTATTCATCGTTTATTACGATAAATATATATTTTAGAATTACATATATTATATTATATTTATTTATATTTTAAATTTTACAGAAAAGAGTTATCAGGACCAAGAGCGTGAAATATATGCCATTTTTTCTGTCACTTGCAAACTTAGCAAATGGCGTCGTATGGTCCCTCTACGCCCTCATCAAATTCGATCCCTTCATCTTGGTAATGATTAAGGCCTTATATATATACAGATTTTTTAAAGTTTTGACGCTATTTATTAGTATGTAAATTTAATATCACATTAGATATTAATATATATTTTTTTTTCACAAATCATCGCCACAAATACCTAATTTTTCATTATTTTCAAAAATTTCAAAGTTTTTGGAAGTCCCAAAACCTCTATGTAAAATTTCTGCATTGTATAACAAACAATTTTTCTTTTCTTTTCTTTTTTTTTTTTTTTTCTTGCATTATATTGCATTAGATATTAAGGGCTTTTTTTTCTTTAACATTTGAAATCAAAATTAAAACTATTTACTTGTACAATTTTAAAATAAAAATATACTATTTTTTCTCATAAAAACTCAAATAAAATATGCATTTAACTAATATATAAACCTTTCTATAATTTTTACATAAAATATTGATGGAATAGAGAATGTTGATTGGTTTGTACTTGAATTTTATTTTTTAAATTTAAATAATATTTTGATGCGATATTTAAAACTATGCTAACTTAATAGTAAAAAATATTTATTCTAACTGCAAACCAAACAAGTATATTAACATATATTTTGGAATTATTTTAGAATATTGAAATAGTACTAATTGAATAACATATAGGAAGTTCGATGAAATATATTTTTCTTTTCAAATATACTGCCGATGAATAGTGTCAAAAATAATTCGAAAACATACGCTAATATTTTTCTCGTGTACGTAGATTCCAAATGGGTTAGGGACTTTATCGGGAGTGGTTCAAGTGGCGCTTTACGCTATCTATTATAAGTCGACCAATTGGGACGAAGACGACATCAACACAACCAACAACAACAAAGGGAAAGAGGTTCAGATGCAAAGTTCTTCGGCCTAAACGCAAATTAAATTAAATTAAATTTTTAGAAAAAAAGAGAAAATAGTTTCTTTTAGGAACAAGTAGATGGTTTCTTTATCTACAAATACAATTTTTCATTATGCATTTTTCCAATAAATTCCCTATAAGACATACATAAAAGAATCCCTGTCGATTCCCTTTCGTTTTTTCTTTGGTTGTTTATTTTTTCATTTTAGTTTAATGCAATTATATGAGTTGTAATGGGAATTTGTATTGTGAAACGAGAAAGAACTTAATAGTAGATTTATTGAGTTTTTATTTCGGCTAAATTCATTCGTCACAATTTTTTCTAACACATTTTCCGATTAATGTTATAGAAAAAAATATATATATGTTTACATAAAATATAATACATATATGTATATATACACGCGCTATTCACTAAAAAAATAATTATTTGATGCAAAATATCACTACTAGAAAAAAGGTTGATAATTGCGGAAATTTGTCGCAAATTTTAATCTGTGACAATTAAAAGTCACGGAAAGTACTTTCGTGACAAATTTATGTCATAACTTTTTGTTTTGACTATTCCGTAAATAATATTTGCAGAAAAAGCTACAAACAAATTTCCGTGACTATTTAAAGTAACGGTTTGTGTAACGAAAATGTCCAAGATATTTTTATTCCGTGTCTTTTGATTATTTCGTCACAAAAATTGTCACGAAATTTTTTTTTGACTATTTTAAGTTGCGGCAAAAATAATCAAAATATTTTCAACATTTTAAATTATTACAGATATTGTCATAGTATAATTTTTGTGACTTTTTAAAATCAAATGTCATAACATAAGTAACGAAAATAACTATAAATTTTTCTTATTATTGTTTGTAGCTATTCAAAGTAATAACAAAATAATAAAATCATCTTCAATATCTTTATTGAATATCGTTCGTAGTTATTCAATTTTTTGTTAAAAATTCATGATGATATATTAAATAAATATGTATATATTTTTAAAAGATAAATTTATAATCAGTAATATTTATATAGTTAAAATACAATAACAAACAAAAAGTTAGAGTAGATAGCTAAGTTGGCATGACAAATCGTGTAAGTCTTTAATAACTATAAGGTCGTGTATTATATTTAGATATTATCAACGCACTTCCCTATAAAAAATAAATCAAACTAAATCAGAATAAAATAAACACACTTTTCATTATTTGAATGATAGTAATTAGGACATAGGCTTTGCTTACATACTTATTTCTTTTTATGTTTTCTCACGGTTAATCAACAAAAAAAAAAAAAAAAAAAAAAAAAATTATATTAAATACATATTTTTTTCTCACAAAATATTAAAACAAATATTTATTCTCTCTCAAGTTAAATATTTAATTTTTTTTACTATTTTGAAATTTTTCTAAACTTCAAAAACCTAAACGAAAGGATATTCAATCATTTAATCTTCATAGTTTAATTTATAGGCTGTATAAATATATGTCAAGTTTAACCTATTTTTTTTCATAAAAAATGCATTATATTCAATAATTTTTTTTTCCGGAAAAATAGTAAAATAAATACAAAAACACATTAAATATATTAAATTCCTTTCTAATGAGTAAATAAGTAATACTCTATTAAATAATAGTGAAAAAATCACTTTTAGTCTCAATATAATCAAAATTCATTAATTTTGGTCTCAATATAAAAATTTTATCAATTTTAGTCCAAATATAACCAAAACTATCATTTTTTATGTCAATATAAACAAAACTCATCATTTTTGTCCCAATATAGAATTTTTATCAATTTTAGTCCCAATATAACAAAAAAAACATCATTTTTGGTCCCACGTCAACAAACCGACGAAAATTGTTAACTTGAAAAGAAATCAAACCTTATATTTATATTTGAAAAAATTGCACAATCTTGCAAGTCTATGTCAGCATTTTCCGTCGGTTTGTTGACATGGGACCAAAAAAGATAGGTTTGATTATATTGGGACAAAAATGATGAGTTTTGGTTATATTGAGACTAAAAAAACAAAAAACAAATTATATTGAGATCAAGAATGATGAATTTTGGTGATATTGAGACAAAAAATGATGAGGTTTGGTTATATTGAAACCAAAATTGATAAAATTTTTATATTGAGACCAAAAATAATTTTTTCCCTAAATAATAATAATAATAATACTCTATTCATCAGCTTTAAATGTATTGGTTTTGTCATTACAAAATATTATAATTCGTTAGTATAGATATCACCATACATTACTATTTTCAAACTTACATTTATTTACACATAAAAGATAAAAATCTAAAAATATTTAAATTCAAAAAATATTATAAATTATCATTAAAATATGGAGAAATATTTATTAAATTCCAAATTAAAAATAAATGAGCATTTTTGGTATTGTTGGATGAATATATGTATACAGCGCCGGAACTATTACGAATGTAAAATGACGAAAGAAAAAGCGAAAGTTGACGGGATTTGTATCCCGCATTAAAAATAAATAAATAAATAAGATGAACACTCCAATATATTAAACTTGGTTCGAATCAGTTTATTTGGTGGAGATTATTTCTTTCTCGTTGCTTTAAAATCAAATTTTTTAAGTAACAAAATTCATCCTTTTATCATGAATTTCTCCCAACTCAATATTTTTTTATTTTTTATTTTTCTTATCTTCTCCGTTATCTTGATTAAATTTGTTTTTCGTAAAATCTTTTTGAAAAAAGTTACATTCTCCAAGTTTTATTCGTGGTGGTGAGATAGTTGATCTTAATTCAGTTCGTTCTATCATGAAAAGCAATCGGTGGCGTACCAAATTTTTTTAAAGAGATCGCGTACAATGTGACGCTTGAAATCAATTTCCGATCCATAAATTAAATATGTTATGTTATTCTAATATTTTTACTCGAATTCAAGTTTTGAAATTTTCACATCTCGGTTTTCAAGTTAATCTATTAACAATCTCGAAGCAATTTCTCTTTTATGATGTAATAATCAAGATGGCTAATGAAATCCCCCAAATTCGTGATCAATCAACTGTCCGGAACATGTTTGATGATGAAGCAATGATCGATTCTGACAGAAATATAAATAACGTTCAGATTGTTGTATACGGACAAACAAAGAAGTGAATTCGAGCGAATCTCGCACTCCAATTACTTATGTTTCCGGTTCTCAGTCACTTCGCTTAACCGGTGAGGTTGCCACAATTATTTTACTTTATAAATTCCAAAAGCAAAATACAATAATAATAATAATAATAATAATGATAATTGGAAGGGATTGATACACATGGTACATTTAAAATTAATTGCAAAATAGTCGATAAGGAATGGTCTGGTGGTTGAATTTGTAATCCAAACGCCTCAGGTCACTTGGCACACATAGTTTGCCTAGTATAACTTGTCTGTCGAGCCTAGTTTGCACAACCTCTGTACATATATCCCACGTATCGTAAGTACGTTCGTATTCATACATACATACATATACATATATATATATGTATATATATATTCTGGATCAGGAATTGCATCTCTGGTTTTCAATTTTCTGTGCACAATACAATTGACAGAAATTTCATACCTTATACAATACAGCCCTCCCCTAGAAAATGTAGGTATGCATTAATCTTTCAAGGACCTCTATGTTTCCAGAAACAGAAACATCCCTGCTGCTGGTCCACAGGGATCATCCCGCCGCCTTTCGACGTGTCGATACCTTCTAACATCGCCACTACCTCGTCCATTTCGGGCCTTTTGTCCGGGTTCGCGTCCCAGCATCGCTTCATCACATTCGCCAGGGAGCTCGGGCAACATCTCGGTATTTCAGGCCTCAAGTTCTGATGGACATTAGCTCGTTATTGCACCAATCGGCACATAATGTATTGTTATTTTGAAAATGGACTGGGAATAGTGTTTACCTGCCGGACGACTGCTGATGTCACCTCGGAGAAACTGAGGTCGGGATACGGCATGTCGCAGCAATATATTTCCCATAAACATATGCCGAAGCTGTATACGTCGCATTTCCTGTTGTACGGATTACCGTTGAGAACCTGCGCTAATATCCGGTTATGCATTCTCAAAATTGTTATCTTTTTCTCTAAATAGAGGTAGCAATGATATAAGTTATAATACAAATACAACATATGAACTAACAATACATAATAATAAAATCTCTATATACTTTTAAAACTTGTATGACACTGTCTTATACTTTAAAAAACGTTACATGAAATCCCACTACTATAAAACCTCCCTTGTGTGATGAGTTAAAGATTTTGTCTATATGTTTTGCATGGAGAGAAATTTCATACAATATTTTTTAAAGTATAAGAAGGAGCATGCAATTTTTAAAATAAAGTGAGAATTTAAGCTGAATTTCGAAACCAAATAAATATTTAATGCAATATATTTTAAAGTAAAGGGAGAATTTACACTGAGTTTCGTAACCACAAGGAAATTATAAACAATTTGGCCTAATAATAATAATCCTACAACACATATTACAATTGAATTTAGTATGTATGGTATGTTCATACAACACACCGTGTATAAACCGTAAACTCACCGTATGATTTCACTTAACTCACTACATAACAATAGTTTTTTTTTTTTATCTATTGATTAGCCCCAATCAGCACATTAACCAATCCCCTAATCTTTGTTCTCTCCCGTGTCAACAACAAAGAAGGGTAAAAAAAAAACTAAAACAATTAATCGCTCCATCGAACGATGTGCAAATGTCTCGAATCGTATATAACTTATCGAAAAAAAGCCCTTTGAATGAACACAATAGCAAAAATTTTCAATTTTTTATTTGTTCGACAGTTACAAGCCATACCTCAGGTGCCATGTAACCAAGGGTTCCAGTCTCTCCCGTCATGTCATTGGGATTTGAGGCTTCTACACGAGCAACCCCGAAATCAGCTATTTTCACCGTACGTGTCTTATCTAACAACATATTTTCTGTCTTCACATCCCTGTGAACAATTTTCTGAGAGTGGAGGTAACTTAGCCTACGAAGCAAACAGTAAAGTCAGTCTCTACACAAATCAATTCTTGTTACTATGTGTAGGTAAACTTGTTGATTGGTGCATAACTTAATAATCAACAAAAATTAACCAGAGAAAATTGCAGAAAGTACCCTCGAGCAAGATCAAGTGCCATCTGCACAACTACTTTAAATGCGAGCTTCTTTCTCCGGTTCTTTATGAGATAAGATTTTAAGGCACCTCCCGGTAGATATTCCACGACAACACAACATATATTACTAGGCATACCAATCTGACCATTTTCTGTCTGGATGTTAAGATCCGAGGAGCCCATCGTTGCGCCTATAAACTGCAAATGCATTGCAATGAACATAAGATCAATAATCTGTACACTTTCCAAGCCAATGTTTCATTGAAAGGACAAATAGGATACTTAGGCTTTGTTTATATTGATACTTTCGAAACTTTTAGCACTAATATCACATCAAAATTTTCCTTTCACAAAATATAACATTAAATGCCCAATTTTTTACCATTTTCAAGATTTTCCAAGACTCAAAAACTTCTATCTAAACGGAGCTAAGTATTCTAGAACAAAGAATTGAAATAAATATCAACCTTTGTCACATTAGGGTGTTCGAGTTTATGCCATACAGCAACTTCTTGAGTAAATGCAGCTCTTAAGGATGCTATTTCAGTTTCCGTTCGGTGGCCCTCTTCGCCCCAGTCCAGCAGTTTAACTGAGAACCATAGGAAAGTAGATGAGCGAGTATGAAAACTATGGCAACAAACATCATGAGTTAGAATAAATCCACAGTTCGAATAACTGTACATCATATTCGCGTGGGTACATTTGGGTATAAGCATCCAATGTATTTGAATCATACATGTGAAAAAATGGCAAAAGTAAAATGCAGATTACATTTCCCAAATGAACATTAGAACATATTATCTACTGTATTTGACAAAGAAGTTTGAGTAAATTGTGTCTTTTTGTAGTTTCTTGGATCTTTCTAAAATTCTCTTTCCCCATTAAACATGAGACAAAACCTATCCTCTAGGTTTCAGTGCCTCACTCTCATCTTCTTGTCCTAACTTTGCTTTTCACCTATGTTTTGCTTTGCTTATCCTGTCCAATTTAGTGTGAGCACCCACATTCATCTCAAATACTATCATCGAAATTTTTGGTTCATGTTCACATTTTATCGCTCATCACTCAGATCCATACAATGTCACTTCTCTTGTCTAATAAAGCTTTCATTCCTCTCAGGATTCCTATCAGTTTGATTAAGTTTCCTGGTATAACATGCTGTAACATGATGGCACACAGAGAGCATAAAAATGCTGGATATCCTAAATCAATAAATACAAAGTGATTTGCAAACAGATAAGCAGCTAGACTTAAGGGGTAAGGACTATTTTCCAGAACTAGCATTACGATCACGTTATTGCTAGATCAAGTAGTGTATGTAACGCTAAACTAGATCATACAGCCAATTAATTATTATCCACCCTATCCTTTTTTACTGTAGCTTTTTCCCTTACAACTTCCTTTACACTACTCACTTCCCATTTAAATTATTTCTGAAAACAAGAAATGAAGAAGACATTGCTCAGATTCTTTCTTTTTTCAATTCAAATTATTCTCATTCATCCCCAATGTACCTATTGCCTCTTTATTGGGGTTTAATCTTTAGTCATTTTTCAACAAGTTAACTCTATTCCTACCACTATTCTCAATAACCAAAACCAGGTTTCAAGTCAAATGCAGCCGAAATCAAATGATCAAAGCAGTTAAGAAAATACTACGACGACGAGCGTATGAAAGGAAAGAATTAGTGAATTTTCAGCTCATCCTAAACCTAGAAATTTATAGTCATTGTCTCTTTGACTCTACGTCACTGTCTCTCTCATGCTACATATAAAGTTCTCTCCATTACTACAAACAAATTCAACTTCCAATCAAATATAGCAAGAATTCATCAGGAATTCATGAATTTCACAAAATCCTAATTAGGGCCTTTTTCAACCAACAAATTTTTTTTTTCTTTTTTTCACAGAAAACAATGTTAACCAACAAGCATCCATCCTCAACCAAGAAAGTCAAAGAGATAATCGAAAAGCTCGTTGAATCACATGAAAGCTGAGAAATACCAGTCTCAATTACAGCACTCACCTCCAAATCCAATCCAAACCCGTGCCTTCATATCACGGGTTCCACAGCAGTGCATTCATTACAGTGCCACTCAAAGATAACTATAAATAAAGAGCACAAATGACAAAAGGCGCAGAAAAAAACGAGCAAATTCATGTACAGATAGAACCTTAAGAACAGACTATATGAACTCCAGATTTGATCAGCACTGTTAGTTTCACATCAGGTTAAGAACTCAAAAACCATTCCATGGAGCACCATAATCGATTGTACCACGCAAGAAAATGACAAAAAGTAAAGTCAAAAAAAAGGATAAGCATTAAAATCAAAAGGATTAGAACTTTACAGGAAAAGTAGAAAGCGAACAAAAAAAAAAAAGTAGAAGCCACTCGATGGGAAAGGTGAGAGAGAAACACTAGAGTGACAAGGCGGTGACTGACCGGCAACATCCTGACCGTCGTAAACGCCACGGTGGACGGTCCCAAACGTGCCACGTGCAAGCACGCTCTTAATAATCAACTTGGAGGGGTCGATCTCCCACTCCTGTCGCTGCCTCCGGGCGGCGGTCGTCGCCGGAGCGGGAATAGGGGCGATGGATACCGTCGGAACGACGGCGGCGGCGGCAGTGGTGGCGGCGATGGGGGTGGAGGTCGCGGAGGAGGAGAAAACTTCTTCCTGATTCTTCTTCTTGTTCTTCTCCATCGTCCACGCCCTATTCAAGTGCCGCTCGAGCTGCTCATCCAAGCTCTTCAAATCGATTTGATCTGCTCGCACAAATCCATTCCCGCTTTTCTCCATCCTTCGCTGCTTAGTCGACGCTTAATTCCCCCACAATTACATAAATTTATGTATCTATAATTGCAGTAATTTTTGCCTAACCTGGGGTAGGGTTTTTCTTCGATTTTTGGAGATGGAGGGCGAGGGAGGAATCAGTTGAATCGAAATGAAAATGGAATTGGAATGGGAATGGGAATGGGAATGGGAATTGTGTATTATGAGAGAGCGGAGAGGAGAAGAGAGGAGCAGAGCAGAGAAGAGGCAGAGGCATGTGGTCACATGGAATTGCCTGACCATAACGTGTATGTATGACCCACTGCCCACTGCTTTTCTTGTAATTTTCGGAGGCTCCAGGATCTCGAGATCCAGACTGATTTTAGAATTCTGTGTTCTGTCGTAATCTAAAGGTTGTGCGCTCTCTGGTCCCGGGAGTTTCGTTCAACTGACCTTGTTTACTTGTTTACTGCGTCTCTTGCTGTCTTATATTTATCTTAAGTTTTGACTTTGATTCAAACGTCAGGAGCGAACTTAACTGTATTTGATTTTTTATTTGGAAATATACTTTATAGAAAATCGTATTTAACTGGTCATACTTTCTATCAACAGCCCGTTTCCATGAAAGTTTACATGATCTTTATCCAATTATTTATTTATTTATTTATTTTATTTTATTTATTAATATGTTTCATCAGTCTCATATCTATATATTCATTTAATTTTTACACAAAATTTTAGAAATATTAGTATTATATTATAATAAAATAAAAAAAATAAAAAAATTAAATTAACTAATAGATAAAAATAACAACGATATTTATGTAATATATCGTACACTACTGCTACCTACATTTATATATTAAATGTTTATTTCAAATTTTAAATAAAAAAATATCAATTTTATTGTAGACTACTGCTCCCTACGTCCCACCACACTTGAATCCTTTGATCAGGGACACCGTATTTAAGGCACAATATTTAATTAGTTAATGATAATTAGTTATGATATTATTTATTTAAAGTAAATTTAATATATATGATTAAAAATATTAAAATATATGTTTAAATATTTAAAAGTTATATAGTAATTAAAAAATATATTCAATATGGAAGAATAAAATTTTCTATAATATAAGTAAATAAAAAAATATTTTTTTTATTTATAATTAACATAAATAAGTAGTTTTAAATATAGATAAAAATATTTATTTTTTTTAGGAGATATGTAAAAATAAAAGGTTTTAAGTGAATCCTACTTAGTATATTATGTTGATTTAATAATTTTTATCAAAAATAGAAATGTGTCAAGTATTATTTTATAATTATTTTTTTTAAATAGGTTCGATTGGTCACGGTTAGTTCTGGGCCAGTTTCAGGGTGAGAGTGACTCAGTTCGATTTAAAAATATGAAATTAAAAAGATGATTACATAATGATCCAAGACTACACATATTTTTTTAAAACAAGTTTTGGTTCCAGGCCCGAGTTGATCGGTGGACAATTTGGGTTTGATGTCAAATTTTAGATGGTACTGTTCAAGATTTTTGACTTTTTAATATGAACTTGATTTTAAATGGTAGTATAACATTAAAAAATAAAATTTTTACTTTGATATTTAAAAATAAAATAATTAAATAATAAAATCCAGATTAAAAATTTATAAACAAATAGAGTTTAAATAATTTTAAAATAATAATATTGTTTCATGATATTGGACTGAAGTGCAAAAGGACATGAAAAGAGGACGCCAGGAATATTTCCGAGATGTTAATGAACAAGACGTACTTCTATTTATTGACAATATCTTCCGTTTCGTCCAAGCAGGATCCGAAGTATCGGCCTTATTGGGTAGAATGCCTTCCGCGGTCGGTTATCAACCCACCCTAATCACTGAAATAGGCTCTTTACAAGAAAGAATTACGTTTACCAAAGGATCGATCACTTCGATTCAAACAGTTTATGTACCTGCAGACGATTTGACCGATCCTGCTCCTACTACGACATTTGCACATTTAAATGAAAAAGATCTATTATCAACCAAGAATTTCGAAAGGTCGAGACTACGTAGTGCCTCCGTCCTCATAGCAAGCCAGCCCTAGAGATCACCTGGTCCTCATGGTTATTCGGTCTTCGTGAAAGTCTAGTTCTCAAGGCCACTGCAGACCCCAATACCTCATCAGGAAGACATGTCTTCAATACGTCGCGGTCCTTATGACCATCTTGGCGGTTTGGCTTGTTAGAAAATAAACATATAATCAAATATGTTAGCGGAAGCGAAATTTAAACAAACCTCCAATCATTGCAAAAAATTAAATTTATTCTCGATACTCTCTTCTTCAAGCAAACGGTAGATTGGAATCGTGGGAAGATGGTGTTGCCAAACTCTGGAATCCTTGGGAGGATGTTGCCAAACTTGTGAAGATGCTGCAAGATCTTGGAACCCTAGGATGACGTTGCCAAACCCTGGTTCTCAAATAGCGATGGTGTATTTTGATTTTCTGATAGTAGGTTTAGTAACCCGTATGTGAGAGTATTTATAATAAAAAAGAGAAACCGTCCATCACGATTTTTCTGCCACTTCTCACATATATTTTGAATGTGATAGACTTAATGGGAGAAAAGTGGGCCACAATTTTAGGTTAGTTTAATTATATAAGATAATTCAAAAATAATCAAAATTCAAATATAATTAATTAATTAATTAAACTAACATTCTCCCACTTGGCCCACTCAAACTATCACAACATAACGAGAAACCTTACATACGAATCATGGCGGTAGGTCTTCTATAAACAAATGTTACCTTCCATGTATCACGATATATCAAGCATCTCAAACTAAATTCACAATCTTAATAAATAAATCATATATTTATTCCGGGTTAAACATAAGCGAATTTTCTCAATAATAACCAAATATGTGCACAATAAAGTGAGAAAACATAAAACTGAATAAGAGTCTCAAATAACAATGTGCGCAAATAAACTACATTGTAGAATCAAGTCTCATACTCTCTACATGATCCCTCAAATTCTTTAGTGGCATGCCTTTAGTCAAGGGATCAGCAAGCATCAACTTTGTACTAACGTGTTCAATCACCACTTTATTTTTCTTGATACGTTATCTTAAGGTTAAATACTTGATGTCGATGTGTTTACTTCGACTCCCACTCTTATTGTTTTTAGCCATAAACACCGCAGCAGAGTTGTCACAGTACAACTTGATCGGTCTAAAAATAGAACAACGACTCTAAGCTCGGATATGAAACTCTTCAACCATACACCATGCGAGCTAGCCTCGAAACATGAAACAAACTCAGCCTCCATAGTGGAAGTAGCAGTGATAGACTGCTTTGCTCTTCTCCAAGAGATAGCACCACCAGCCAACATGAACACATAACCCGACGTGGATTTCCGAGTGTCAATGCAGCCAGCGTAGTCCGGATCGGAGTAACCAATCACTTCAAAGACATCAGTTTGTCTATACATGAGCATGAAGTCCTTCGTTCCTTGAAGGCACCTCATATAAAATCCATTTATCATTAGTTGCAAGCAAAATATCATCCAAGTACAACACAAGGAAGCAAATACGACTCCCACTAACCTTCTGGTATATACAGTGATCCATGACGTTTTCCTCAAAGCCAAATGAAGAGATAACATCATGAAATTTCAAATACCATTGACGGGAGGCTTGCTTCAATCCATATATGGATTTATTAAGCTTACAGACTAAATTTTCTCACATTTCTTCATTAATAGTCTTTCATCCTCTTGAACACACATGGTCATCAACTCATTGATGGACCATTTATCTTATGTGTGTTGTAGGATAATGTCTTGCATCCGCATTATGTGCTCGCACACACCCCTCACACGGGTGAATCTCATGGTGGAGAATTGAATGACTGGCATAATCAATGTCCATCTAGCCTAAATGAAGGAGGATCATTTCCTTCCATATTTCGTAATTATCACCAGTCAATTCGGGGACATCACACTTAATGTCAGAGAAATTTATAGGATTAAACACTCCAAAATTAAATATACATTCTCATCAATAAATGAGACAAATAAATTATATGTTCTACCAATGTAAACATGTTAAGACATGAATCTAAAGACATAAGACTTGCCTGTGGGCTAAAGTTTTTACTCAATTAGATTCAAACAAAAACTTTACAATAAAACTATCAAATTGCGTTCCTTTTCTTAATTCATGTGGGTGGATTAAGAAATACAACTCGATATTTTATCATAATCACTCATATAAACATAACAAGACTCATGTGGGTAGATCTCATCACATTGTATATGATAATTACAATCGATGTTTATTAATGTGATTTCAAATAAATCATGAATAAATATTTAATTAATCGAGGATGTTGTGGCTATTCTCCAATTAAATAAAATTTAAAATAAATCACAAACATCATGAATATGCAATTTGAAGTACACATGTCTATAAGCTATTAAGTCCTCCGTATATGAATTTATAAAATAAATTAGCAATCATCGAGCAACATCAGCAATTGTCTTTGGACAAATTATTGACTCGCAAGTAATAAATTTGTTTTGAGAATTGAAAGTTGACAATAAAGTAGTGTATCGAACAATACTCCATCTTTGGACAAAACTATTGTTCACACACAAATAACCAAATTATCATCACCACATTCAATGTCATTAAACATGCATGTAACTACTTAATCGCTGACTTGCCTTTGGGTCAATCAACAGCCTTATAAACTACATACACAACCTTCTAACATATAAAATAAACCGATTTACACAGCAGAGGCTGCTATGGCAACATTACTGTTTCAACCAATTCATAAAATATATTATACTCTTTATTGTTAATTAAATTCACCTTAAAATAAACTATGTATGTCCAGTACATATGAAAGTTATAACAACAACAATTAATTTATGGACTCATCAAAATAATCAAATAGTCCAAAAAATACTAAATGCACGCTGCATAACAAATATCATTGCAGTGCTTGGCTATAGTCTTCTATTGAATTACATAAATGAATCACATATTAATTAATAATTCCGAATGCTCACGACATATATGATTCAATAAGTTTAAAAGATAGAGATTGAGCCAATTAGAAGCAACAATAATAATCTCACATCTGCACACATTGACATAATTTAAGAGATGTATTATTCTAATTGACATAAATTTAATCAAACTAACAAATCGATTAAGATGAGTGCAAACATTTAACTCACAATGAAAATTGGAGCAAATAAATCGATTACGAATTGCCAA